ACTGAATGCACATTGTCTGTCAAAAATCTATCTATCAGCATCATCCTGTCACCTGGGGCCACCAGCAACAAGGGTGCAGCAGGACTTTGGGGGCTGGTGTCCTGAGCCAAGGGGGGCTGAAATGCAGCAGGGAGGAGGCCCCCGGCCCACAAAGCAAAGGGAAGAGGATATTCCCTTTGATACGGTTGTGTTTAGGAAAAGACTAGCACAGCTTGGTTTCTAGCAGTAACTGACGGCTGAAGAGGAAGGTACTGCAGCCAGCACCCGAGCATGTCTCCTCCCAGGGGAGCAGAGAAACCAAACTGCTGAAACACCAATGAAACCCACCTCTGTCCCAGGTGTAAAATCATGTTTGCAGCCAACTCTGATGAAGTGAAGCCTGTGAGAACAGATGGGCTCTGATCTTCTTAAAGTCATGCCTCCCAAATTAACCATAGCAAATGGCTTAATTTGCTGTCTGGGACAATACTGTTCAGTATGAGGCTTGTGGTACCATTTCTTCCAGTCATTTGTAGATGTCAGCAAAAAAGATCTTAGCAGAGTTTGGTAAAGCTGCCAAACAGACCCAACCTCATGTGGTTAAGCCTGGACCAGCCAAACCTACTACATGTGGATGAAAAGCACAAGCAAGCAAACAAAAATACCCTTCAGTTATGATGAGGAAGAAAACAACTGCAAGTTTCTGTGACATCCAGAACACTGACATCCTGATCCTAATTGCCTCAGCTTGTTTTCTTGGGCATACAGAGCACAACAAGAGAACAACATTTTTCTTTGATAAAAGCAACCAAACTAATAGAGAGCTGGTCTGGAAACCACACCGGGGGAGATGGAAAAGAATGCTGTCATGAATTAAAGCAGACAAAAAACAGATGAAGCCACCTGGGAAAGGGCTGAGGACCTCATAGGATATCCCATACAGCCCAACAGCAACCTAATTAAATAAGCAGCTGGAAAGCACATAATTACCCCAGGAGAAAGATGAGGAAATGGAAGCCTTTTGAGACAGAGACCCAGAAACTGAGTAAATGATCCTCTGAGCTGGTTTTGGGCAGCACAGCTGGCCAGGGAGACAGGTAGACAGCTGGGACTCAGCCTTCCTCAGGGGATCTGGGCTCATTTAGTCTCTCCATTCCTCTGCCTCTAAGGCAATAAAAGAAAATCCCTCCTCAAACAAACAGTGCCTGGGCAAGCTGTGAAGAATCCTCTTCCTGCAGCCAACAGCCCTCACTCCCAGAAGAACCCTGCACTTCCCTCTACAATGGCCAACAAAACACTTCTGCATCTTGATAGTCTTTGACCTGCCAGCATGGGCAGGGTGCTGGTGCTGCCCAAGGACCTCCTTTGGGACGGGTTGAGTTGCAAGCTGAGGCACAGTGTGGAGGATTCACATTCAGTGTGCGCTGGTGAGCACTTGCCGAGAAAAATGCCACGATCCAGATGTCCGTGGGGATCTCAGCCAAAGCCATGCCTGGCTGTTAAATGGAACAAGCCTAGACAGCTACTCAAGAGATGAGCAATTGGAAAATGTACCAGCAACCAGGCTTACTTTTCAGTATATTTACTTGGGAATCTGGGACCTGAGGGGTCCATCCCACACCAGCTTACATTGTACCCCCATGGATGACGGCGCTGGAGCGGGGGCTGCAGAGACCACGTCTTCTCCCACCATCAGGTCGCTGAAATGCTGCTGCACTGGGGAGCAGATCATGCCTTAAGAGGTCTTGGGATTAATTTCCTGGAAGCAGACAAAATCGTTCCTTAGAACTTTGAGTGAACAAGCTGCACTGTATGCTACACAAATTAGTGCCTTGTCTGGCAGATTCAGAGGGCTGCTTTGCCCTGGTACACGCTGTTCATCCCAGTGCAAAGTAGCAGAGCCAAGGGAGGCTGGAGCTCACTCAGGCAAAGTCCTGGTTGTCTGTGTGTTGTGGGGATGGGATGGGCACAGGCAGGGGAGGACAGGCACCAGCTATTGCTCTGTGTCAGACTCGCTTCCAACAGTTCCTTACATGACCTGTCCATCTCGTAGCAGCCACCAGCAGTCAGCCCCATGTCAAGCCTACAGCCCCCCGGCACTGGAGCAGCTCAGCATGGAGACAGCTCCACCAGCAAAGGGTGCTTGCTCTGCTCCTCCTGCCAGGACAGAGGGACAAAGCAAACCACCTCAACCTGGGCACTACCTCATCTGACAAACAGGGCCATGAAAAACTATAGTGAAAACCCCAGTTCAGGCAAATTCCCATCTGTTTAGTTAAGATAATTTTAGTTTACTACTACTTTTTTTTGCTTGGCAATTGCGTGTGTGCAATTAGCTGCAATCTTGACTCTAAAAAAAATATAAAGCACCCTAATTAGCATATTAAGCCTCTTCATTTCCCAATACTGTATAATGTTGTGAAAGCTAATCTATAATGTATTGGGTACTATGCAAATTCTCTGTACTCCATATGGGGTTTATAAAGGCATGCAAATTAAAAATAGGGTTTGGAATAGGACTGGGGGGAGGGAAGAATTTGCACAATAAAAAATGCGGATGGGGGAAAGGTGTTTATAACCTTCTCCCTATTGTTTGTGTATTCTCAGATGCACAATGCTTTTCAAAGCGGAGAGATGTATTGCATAAAATCTCTCCAAATTGGATAGTTTTTAAATGAAATTTAAAATGAGAGCGTTGTTCTCTAAGCAATAATCCACACCACGCTCTCTGCTGGGGCTTGTAATGGGTCGCTAAAGGTACTCAGCTTCCACTGACTTGCATTGCAATCTCGCATGGCTTCGTGTAGCATCTTTGCCTGAGTATCACCAGGGTCCTCACCCACAACACAGCTGCCCAGGAGGGCCCACGGGGACGGTTTGTCCAGGACTTGGCTGGTCCCCAGCAACATAAACCAACGGGGCCAGTGCATTACCTGCAGCACCCAGGGCTTTTGCGGTGCCTGTGGAGCGTGCTTTGATCCTGTTGATGTTTTATAGCCATGCCTATAGGTGATGCAGGCGTAGCAGTGATACAGCTGGGGTTTTACGATGCCGCTGGCTGGTGGTGGAGCGGCTCTGTGCAGGCTTCCAGAGCCGAGCCAGCACACACGGTCTGTCTGGTGCGGCTTGTCACTGCCGCCCGTCGGCTGTGCCTGGCTGGGTGCACGCAGCTTCCCTGATTGATGCTTAATTAGATTACAGCTGCTGCTTAAAAATAGCCGGTTTATAAAAATAACATCTTGGCTGCTGTCAGAGCGAGCCCTGCGCAGACCGGCAGGCAGGGGGGCGGCC